CCTCTTAAGACAACCCAGAAATACCCAGAAGCAGCACCAATTAAACCAATTAAGTGGGCGTGTGTTCTGTTGATGGCACTTGTTTGCTTGGCTGGAATTGGGACCCCAGCACTGGGGAAGTTTGGGGCCAAAAAAGCGGACGCCAAAAGGATCCCAACTCGATTGGATCGCTCTCGGGCGTGCTGGCCGCCCCAGATTCGGCGGTGCAGCAGGACTGTGGACAGGAAGAGCTGATAGAGGACCTGCAGAGAGGATGGCGTCCGCTACTCCCAAGCGTACAGGGCGTATACATATACATACATATGTATATATATATATATATATTTATTTATGTTCCAGGCCGTGGACCCCCCCCCCCCTCCCCCAACCCCCCCCTTTTTGTGGGGGTGGGGTGGGTGGTGGGGTGGTGGGGTGGTGGTGGGGTGGTGGGGTGGTGGTGGTGGGGTAGGTGGGGTGGTGGGGTGGTGGGGTGGTGGGGTGGTGGGGTGGTGGGGTGGGGTGGGGTGGTGGGGTGGTGTGGGTGGTGGGGTGGTGGGGTGGTGGGGTGGTGGGGTGGTGGGGTGGTGGGGTGGTGGGGTGGTGGGGTGGTGGGGTGGTGGGGTGGTGGGGTGGTGGGGTGGTGGGGTGGTGGGGGGTGGTGGGGTGGTGGGGTGGTGGGGTGGTGGGGTGGTGGGGTGGTGGGGTGGTGGGGTGGTGGGGTGGTGGGGTGGTGGGGTGGTGGGGTGGTGGGTGGGTGGTTGGGGTGTGGTTCGGAGTTGGTTGAGGCTTGGTGGGTTGGTTTAGGGTTGGTTTAGGGTTGGTTCAGGGTTGGTTCAAGGTTGGTTTGCGGTGGGTTTCGGGTGGGTTTGGGGTTTGGGTTGACTTAGGCTTAGGGTTGGGGTTAAGAAGGGGTTGCAGGGTGGTTTGGTTTAGGGTAGGATGTTGCGAGAGGTGCGGGGGTGTTGGTTCACGGGGTGAAAGGGGATCTGGGACCGAAGCTGCAGGGCTCGCACGGTACTGGACAGCATCCCCAGCATTGCCAGCATCATCCCCAAGATGCGGATGATGCGCGGGAGTGGGGGGGACCATACCATTGGGGGGGGGGGGGTACGTGGCCCAGGGACTGGTACATATATACCAGGTCCTCCAGTAGAGAGGTTAGAATAATAAGGGTACCCTTTTTTTCTGTAGTCTATTTTAGTAGGGGAAACCTTTCTAAAAAAGGGAAAAAATGCCACTACTGAGGGACCTAGTATGTATATATATATATATAATATACTCCTTTGCAGTAGCTATATAGTGGTTGTATATGTGAATAATTCCTGGGGGTAGCGATTTGTGGGTAGCCATCTTAGACTGTCTTGAAGGTCCCTCGACTACAGGGTTCCCTATGTTCAGCCGAAAATCCTAGGGCCTTAGAGAAACTCGCCGAAGCGGCCGAGTTAGCTCTGAGAACCCAAAAGCAATCTTCGACCATTGCCATTTGGGGATTTCCAATGGTTAGCTTTCATGGGGTTCTCAGAGCCCTTTGATCAGCCCCTTGTTTGACCAGTTCCAAGACAAGTGCGAAAATTTGGGAACATTGCACCAAAACCTCCAAACAGACCCAAATGCAGCACTTCCAAGTACCATGATACCGGCCTAAACAAAAACATCTGCGGGGTTGTCTTAAGTTTGGGGAACCCCCAAAAAACGGTTGGCATTTTCCTTTTGTCCCTGAAATCAGCGCCGGGCCTCAAGAAAGGAACCACAGCCCTCGACATCCAGCCTCTTGGTTGGAGAGGTATTGCAGAAGATCCAGCCTCGGGAATCTGGCCGTCAATCCACATGGGACCTTTCGGCCAACCTTCGACCCTGCAGGTTTTTTCTCTTGCTGGTTTTGACTCAAAAAACAAAAAAACATAGGGAAGTGTCTTAGCCAAGTCGAGCAATGATTGTTGAATTCTGTGGAACAACGCTGGCCCACAATGGCTCTCCCTTTCGGGTGAGTTACCTGCGTTTCCCTTTTGAAACTGGCCAGCCGACACTAATTGCTTGCCCCGGGTCCTGTCACCCTGTGAAGCTTGTGTCATTGGACGCTGTGGCATGGTGTTCTCTGCCATCGTTGTTTCTGAGTTTTTTAGTACAGAACGATGGACACGTCTATGACGATGTCCACGAAGCCGGCTGGAACAATAACTTCCCAATGCGGACAAAAAAGCTGAGATGCGTGTTGAACTGCTCAAAGAAACAAACTGCAGCCCCCAACCTCTGCTTCTTGGGCAGCGCTTGGAATTTTGGACATGGGACTTTGGCAGTTGTTTGGACCCCGGTGCTGGAACACACACAAATAACTGAAACACCAAATGTTGAAGCCTATTCCACTCACTTCCAAACAAGTGGATTGGCCAAAAAGAGTAACCACACTTTTTGGTTGCCGCTAACATTGTCCAAACCATATTAATCAACCACCCAGATTATTCATAGGGGGGTGGGGGGCCCGCCACATTTCACCCAGGTTGACACCCTATTTATAAACTGGTTGGTTGATTAAGAAAAGGGGTCTTCCATTTGGTTAAGACCCCTGGAAAGAAAGAAACAAAAGTAGTGATGGGGTGAACATTCAGCCCATGGACCCGGGGGTTTTCGCTTCCCGGATCCCCTGGGGTCCCGGGCCCTGCGAGCTCGGTGCCAGACTTGGGGCGCTTGATGGGCGCCTGCCGACGACGGAGATCCGGGAGGTTGGCTCAAAAATGCGGCCTGTGGAGGTTGTCATGGGCGGGGCGGAGGGGGGTGGGGAGCTTTGGTTTGAGGAGAACTCGAAAAAAGAGCTGGGGGTTGGAGGCGGGGTTTCGGAGATGGCGTTTTGGGGGGTGCCTGGTTGTGAGAGAAACCAACTCAGCCCTTTGGACAGATTTCGGGCCAAAGGACCCAGAAAATTTGGGGGACCTTGACTAAAACGGACCAAACTGGGGAAACCAAAAGGTGCAAAGGTGGGCCTTGGGCAAGTCATTGGTAGTCCTTCCCCTTTGGACATTGGCCTGGCGCTCTCATTCTTGCTGAGGCCGCGACACGTCCACTCTCTCTCAGCGCTTTGTGCTTGCGCCACCTAAGAAAACAAAAAGACACTGCCGTGTCGGGCCGTTTCCGGGCAACATGCTGCGTGTGTTTTTAAGGGGAACCCCCTTTTCGTTGGCTTTTAAAGAGAACACCAAAACAAAGTTGTCATTTTGTCGGGGGAGGGGTCCCCGAAAAACATAATGGCACACCCATTTCAAGAAAAATAGTACGTGCTAGGGGAGTGCTTCAATCATATACCCTGGGAGTAGCAAAGCATACATGGCACGGGGGTTGCATGGGTATTTGTCCTCCACTTTGCCGAAATCAGCTCCTTGCAGTCCCTGCTCCATTCTAACCCATCGTTGCTTCTGAGATTTTCTCTTCGGGTGTGGGTGCATGCCATTGCATCAGGGCTGCAAATCCTCAGCCAGTCCAAATCAACTCGAGATATCGGTCTGTCTGGTACGAGTAACCCCCGCTTTGGCTTGTTTGGAAGGGAAGCCAAAAGGAAAACCACTTTTTGCTACTGAAAGACGCCCCCATCTGGAAATGTGCCCTAAGCCACTTGAGGGACTTCACCAGGGATATGTTCAACGCCACCTGACATGGAACGTGTCCATTCTGCCCTAAGTGCCGCGCCACACGCTGGCGACTGCCCAAAGAATCCGATCGAGCTTCTGCAGCTCCTAGTGAACGGAGGGAAAACCCCCGAGTTGGATGTGGGTTCCCGATATTTTCAAAAGAAGCCCAGCAAAAACACAGTAATGCATCCTTGTTCTTGGTGGGTACTTGCCCAATGTCCTGTAGGATTGCCTGCTGGTTTCTATGCTGGATGTGGCTTCCGCAATAGAAACAGACAAGAGGTAACGTAAACCGGCAAAAGGGGGAAGACATGGTAAACACTGATGTTTCTGGAACCTAAAAAGCACCCCAACAAAAAAACAACAAACATACATATCTTAAGCATCATGGGTTTCCAAAGTTGATCCAAACCAGGTACCCATGGCAATGCCCGCGGCCGGCATCTTTGACACAGCTCGGCCGGGCATGATCCCTATGTCGAATATGTCCCGCACAAACGAAGAAACACACATAGGGGGTTGTGAGATGCCCCCTAAAAAAGACACACAGTCTCCCTTGCCTATATTCGTGGGTTAGTCTTGATTCCGGAACAGTCAGCCATCAGATACTTAAGCGTCACACATCCACCTGGACTCTCCATGGCCCTATAAACATGAGTCAATGACCCCATTATTTTGGGTAATGACCCCATTTTTTCAGGGTCATGGAGACTCCAGGTACTCTGAAACGGAACTGGACAGGTCCCTTCTCCTGCGGGATGCCCAGCGAGACGAAGACCGTCCTGGCGGAGACAAAGGCCGCGCGCAATTGGATCGGGGCACCTTCGCATCATGTCAGGCAAGTCAAAACTGGGCAGATGGAAGTAAAATCAAACAGGGGAAAACAAATGGAAGTACCTGGAGTCTCCATGACCCTTAAGAAATGACCCATTTTTAAAGGGTCGGAAGGAGACTCCAGCACTGAAATTCTCGGAGAAATTATTGGCACGCAAGCTTCCGGAGCTCGAGACAATTAGGGCCTGGGCTGTCCGTGTTCAGATCCCCTGCTAAATGTTTTTGACTTTGGTCAGTTAAATGGAAACCTTCACAGAACCCCCAAAAAGCTAAAAAAAGCTAAGGGGATGGCTGGGAACCACCAAGAAAATATGGGGGGGGGGGGGGTTTGGAGGTACCCTTTTTGGGGGTTGGTGTGTGGTTTCAAGGGAAACCAGAGGAAATCCAAGCCCATCCATACCCCAATATGGGTTTGTCGTTCTTAGAGGGCCTCCAAACGGTTGGTTTTAGAGGGAAACTAAAAGGAAACCAACATTCCGGGGTTTCCCGAAAAAAAGACACACCACACCCATTTATCAAAGCAGTCCTCAAGCAGGCAACCACTCCCGTGTTCAGGAGCGGCAGTGAGTCCTAAGGCGAATTCGAATTCCAAGCACAGAGCTGGCAAATGTCAGACATGTGGATGGCTCGTCTGCATTTACTTGGTGCCCCTTTTTGTGGTTTCAAAATGAACCAAAAGGAAAACCCAGCCATTTTGCCGGTATCACAAAGACACCCCATCATGGGTTGTCAAAATAACAGGCCCTTCGTACCACCTGTTTGATTGGCAGCGCCGTCCAACAACAAATATATTGACAAGCGTGTTAAGGAACCCGCTCGTTGGGTGAAGGGACGCCGAAGGGAACTGCCCCGCTAGTTCCAAGGGGGGGTTCATCAGAACCACAACCTTGCCATCCGCCGAACCGCTTTGATCAACATAGGAAACCCTGACGTTTGAAGCCTGGCTCGTGGAGGAACCAGAACATCGAGCAAGGTTGAAGCCGCTGAGAGCCGAACGAAGAAACTGAAGCGGATCAGCGGACAAACCTCACCGAGAGCGTTTTGCCGAGAGCGTGGGTTTGGATCTCGGAGTTGTGTCTTGGCACTGTGGTAAGTGCAATTTACACGCTTGGTTGATGTTGACCCTTCTGCAAAGGTTTAACTTGTGCGGTCCAGTGGAGAATCCACGGGATTCTCAAGAAGCAAAAATCCAAAGATCCAACTAAAGCATATATGTTTCTAGGGGTTGCTTCCCCATTCTGTTTTAACCATTTTTCTTGTCAACCAGCTATGTCCCATGGTCTGATTGTTTCCTGAAAGAAGAATACCTGGAAAGAGCGAATGGGGAAGCTTCTTGAATGTTCCACAAACCACTTTTGAGGGTGTTCAGCCAAATGTGCCATCAGTGTTGGGGGCTGGCTTCCTTGACTTCAACCTTACACTACGGTCCAAACATCCTGTAGAAACAATAGCAAGGAACCCGAATCATCCACTTGGCCACAAAGAATATCTGGCTGGTGCACGGAAACCTCATGTTGGCTCGTTTGCTCGTCGCATTGTGGTAAATCAAAAACCCGCTGGATACCGTACCAAGTTGCAGCAAACGACTAACACCCAACCCGAAGACTTGGTTGCTGTTGACCCCCCTGCAAAAGTTTAGCTTTTTGGGGGTTTAGTGGAAAACTCCTTGATTTCCCAAAAAGGTAAAGTCCACAACACCAACCCACTAGCAGTCAAGAAGACATCTGCTTCTTGGCGCGCGGCTGACAGCGGCTCGCCCAAGAAGCTTCCCGCCATGGCACGACCTTGGCCAAGGTCTCGAGCCGGGGATTGGGTCGTTACTGTGTGGGGGGGGTATCAAAGTCAGATGGGGTTGTTTCCCTGCAATCTATCACTTAGGGAGTGACTTTGACGGTAAAATAATGCTGCAGGAAGCAATTGATCGCAGCTAGGTCTGTACTCTGTGCGTCTCAAACGCTGGCTATGACCCAAAGAGTGGCGTTTGGCACCAGATCTCGGCATGTTCCCACAGTCAGCGGGTAGCGGGCTTTGTGGGTTTCAAGGAAAAACTGGGAGCCGTGGGGACCCCATGTGCAGAGCATCTGGGTGCCAGACTCACGTTGCCTTGCTTCAGCAGCACTTTCATGGCCTGTCGACTGGGGCCGGTTGGAACACCGCTGTTTGTCTGGGAAGGCGATCCACAAACAAAATGGACCTGGGGGGGGGGGGGGCAAAGGTGACCCCGAAAGCAATCAGCCCAGTCCTCAGCTCAACACCGGACCCCTCTTTTGATCCCTTCCTGAGACTGTGCATCTCAAGGACGGATCGGAGCCACATGCTTGTCCAGCCTCGACCTGGGTATCTTCTGAATGTTCGGTCCAAAGGTCTGTGCCGTGCCAAACAAGCCACGGGAGCTTTTGAGTAGGTCAGCTTGAAGTTACGCTACCTCCAAAGCCGGCCAGCACGGCCAGGCCAGCGCAGCGTCGTCGCTGATTTCCCCGTGACCAACTAACTGGAGAACCCTCCAGTGAGCCATATAAGAACTGAAACAGGTCCCCGGAGCCCTCACAACTCAAACTTGCCATAACGTGCCTGTATAATATGCAGCCTGCTCTTGTGTTGACTTGTTGAGGGAAAAGAAACGGCTGCTGCTCGCCACCAAAAGGCGTGCTGCCCTTCAATGATTCAATGTAATGTTGCAGCAAAATCAGGTTCACCAAAGGGAAGCCCAACAGCCTCGTCTATCCTTGCGATTGAAGGCCCTCTATCTCCGCAAAAATTGGAAGCCTTGGGAGAATCATCAACACGTTATGACTAAAGTGTTAAAACTGTTGGTCTTTTTTGATTTCCGGTTGAACCAACTTTGAACATAGCTTTTGAGCCTCAAACAAAAACAGATGCAACCCACATTGACATGTCTTTCCGGGTTTCTTCGGGTTTTTCCTTTGAAACAATCCTTCAACCACAACCCCCAAAAGCAACAAACTCATCTGTCCATCCATCCCTTCACCAGGGGAATCTAGCCCCAGAAAGCTGGGCGACTCGTTTCTACTGGATCATCTGTCCATCCATCCCGTCGGAAGGATCGGATTCTACGCACGGAAAACCGGATCGGGATGAGATCCGGGCGGCGGTATAGCTCTCCTCCAGGCCCGTCAGCACCATGATGGCCAGCCCGTGGCTGGGCCTCCAAGGCTCCGGTCATCGACCCGCCGCCGGGAAGTCTGCGGGTCTGTTTGGAGGGTGCCCCCTGCGGCTTTAAAGGGAAGAATCAAAGGAAAAGTGGTGTTTAAAGGGGAAACCCAAATTCAAAGGAAAACCACTATTTTTAGGATTCCCCTTATTTTAAAATTGCCCTGAAAAAGGACACACCCTTATGCAGGAAAAACCTGAGATTCAGCCGCCCCTATATTTCATCTTTCTTTGTATGTGTTGCTTCCGAATGGCCAAAAGAAAGAAGGTGCAAAAAGTGACACAACTCTTTAGCAAATGCACCGTGTCTTTCCTGATTCGCTACTACTGGAAAACAAACATAACGTTGTGTTGGAAGCAAGAATGTATAGCATTGTGTTGGTCAGGAAAGAACAGTTTTCGCAGACGACAGCTTCTTTTGCAACCTGCAGAAAACTAGGCAAAAGCATGTGTGGGGAGGGTTTGTGCTTCCGCATTGCTTTGCAAACTCCCTGTGTCCTTTCAAGACATTGTGCTTGTGGTGTGTGCCCAGCATTTGAGACTCTAGTTGAAACCTTGCCACCAAAGGTCGGCAAGCTTAGCTCTTCACGAAAAATAGCCATGGGGTGTTGCTTCTGGTGGCCGATTTGTTGACTTCTTTGGCTCCATCATCTGGGGCTCTCTGTTTTCTTCAGGGCCGCGAACAACATCGTGGTCTCCTTTGGTTGCCCTGGAAAAAACGACCCAACTCCGGGCCCAAAAAGACAAAAAATGCCATCGGGTGTGCGGAACTTGTGGCAACGGATCTTTGTCGGTTGTTGATTCGGAAGCAAAGTGCGCCCTGCAAGGGACATCCAACCTCTTTGAAGGCGGGATTCTCCAATGGATCTGGCAAAACCAAACCCTAGCCCCTTGGACCCCAAACTTGTGACGGCCTTTGATCCCCAACCTCGAAAAATACCAAGGTCTTGGGACCCTAGGGAAAGACCCATTCCTATTTTGCCATCTCATGGCCGATAGTCGCAACCCGCCCGAGTCTCCAGAAGCCCATTTGGTCCGATTGGGAACTATGACACATAGTTTGGAACAGACCCAAGAAGGAAATAAAACCAACATGGCCTGCTCTTGCTTAGCTTCAAAACCTCTAGGGCCCCGGCTGGAGGTTGAATACCATCGCCGCCAGCGTCAGCAAAGCCTTCGATGAGACTCTCTGGTCAATTCCCCTGCCCAGTGACCCGAAAGCTAGAGAAAAGTCCAGTTAGGCCATGTTTTGGTGGAGAACCTAGCAAAATTCAACTCAACCGGACAAAAAGGAAGCTTGGTCAACTGAACAGGAATCTTGTTTCCCTCAAAATTGCATGGGTCTAGAGTAACATGATTGATTTTCGGTTACACTTCCTACTTTGCCCATGGTCTCAGATCCCTGGATGGACCGAGAAAGTCTCCTCCGACACGACTCTCAGGTAACCCGAGGTGGCGGTTTGACCACCAGGCTCACAAACCACCAAGCAAAAGGAATGAAGTCCATGGCTTCAGGGAGCGTATATAGTGCAGTATCTCACCATTCGCCCGCACCTTCCTGTGCGCCGACGTCTGGAAAAAGACCGGCCTGGCGCCCGCGATTTGCCCGTCGGCTTTGTCGTCTAGCAGGAGGCGTATGAATTTCAATGGTGAAGGTCAGGTCCAATCTGCTGAAAACCAAGGACAAATTCTGAGAGTCTGCCCAAAACCTTGCCTGTTTTTGGGTGGTGCTAAAAGAAAGCCAAGAGGAAAACCACGAACACCTTTTTGCATGGACTTATGGCATTTTGGACCTACCCGGTTTTGGCTCCGATCCTGCTTCAAAATCAACGTCACCCCCCCTCCCCGCCTGGGATTCACAAAGAAGAGCTCCGGCTCACATTGCTGCGGAAGACCCACCTCGTGCCCCACCGAAACGGATGTTTCGTTGACGATCAATGGAGGGGGGAAGCCCCTCCAAAGACTTAAAGAGTAAAGCACCAAAAGGGGACAATCCCCCGATCAAGATCGACCGGTTCAAAACGAAAATTCAAGGACGTTCCCCTTTTCGGTATATGTTTGGACAACAACAAATTGGACAACCTACGAGGTGAGTCCCTGATTGAACAACCAAACGGGCCATTGACAAAACCCTAGGGGGGGGCATCGCCCGCCGTTCGGATGCTCTATTCAGGAGAACGCAAAACACATCTACCATTTGACCCGTATGGTTTCCCATTTCAGCAACCACTACCACATGTTTCCAGGGTTTGGTGGTCGTCTTGCGCTTGGTTCACCTATGTTTCACGGGACTCCGGATTCGGAGCGGATTTGGCCCTAGGCCCCCGACAAGATCATCGAAGCCCTCCTCAGGATTCACATCCTGCGGCCGGAAGGGGATCCAACCTGTTGAGTTT